ATATACATAGCCTTCAAATGCATTTACCTGAAGAAGATAGCTGTGGTGGGCAGAGGATTTTGGTGTTGGGGAAGGAGATTGGGGTGTTTGAAGACGATAGAGATATTTTTTGTTTTATTTATTGTTTTTAAAGGAATATTATTGTATGGACAAAAATGTCCCTCCTTAAAATGGTCAAAATATCTAATTTTTTAATTTTTGTGATTGACTAACGACGATTTGAACAGTTTTTGTCCAGATGGACATCCGGTGCGAATTTATCAAAGGTTTGGGATATGTGGTAGCACAAAGTGAGGATTGATGTAAAGTTTGCAAAAAACGAAAAGGTTTGGGACCGCGACTGCAATTTTCCCTTAAAAGGAAGCGAGATATAAAAATGGTTAGAAATAATAAATAAAATCTAAAAAATTAAACGGCTTTGAACCAAAGTGTATTTTTCATGTAGTTTCGTTAGTCCCGATGGGCAGCATTATGCCTGTTGCACCATAATGAAAATATATAGGCCATGTTTGCTAGATATTTTCGTCTCAATTTCAATTGATATTTCGTCCGTTATTTGGCAGAGCAGCCTACCATTTTTTACTCTTCTTCTCTTAATTGGCCTCCACTTATTGACTTTAACGGTCACATTGTTGATCAAAATTGGATGAAAATCTTTGACAAACAGGCTCATAGTAAAACTGTTGAGGTTTGAAAACTTGTCAAACGTTTATGCGTCCTAACGTAGGGGGCGTTGAGTGAGACGAGTCCTTCGTTGGCTTGATTCACCCCCACTAACAAGTCAAGCAGCAAATTTCTTGTGCAAGTCAATTCAATTTGTTATAATGAGTGAAAATGCAATTTCAATAAAAAATCTGGTGTGTCGCTGGGGCAAGTTCATGGGACAAACTGAGCCACGTTTCGGTAAAGTGAATCGGCTTGGCTCAACTTGGCCCATTTAACATGTGCATTCTCGTCCGACCGCTTCTTCCTCCCATTTTAGGTTTTTTGTTAGCACATGATCTACTCCAGTAGTTATTGGAGATACTGAAGACAGTATAGTACTAAATTATGAAGTTACTTACCCCCCGTATGACAATCATCATTTGGATAAAATGAAGTTTTGAATAGTAATTTTTTGAAAAATGTGCAATTAAGAAGTAAGAAGAAATTTTGGGATTACGTGTAAAATATTTTATTATGTGAACGTATGATTAAAAACGAGTATATAGAAAAAAGAGTTTTGAAATAATGAGCGGCAAACATGGGCTTAAAATTTGACAAAGATTAATTTATAGAAAAGTTACTTAATGTTTAATATTATTTAATGTCGAGACAATTGATTGAATACAAATGAAGAGAAATTAAGGGGACATTTAGCTTGTTATTTACAAACTATTTTTTTGTAAAATAATTAAAACATTTTTAATTTTGTATTTTCGAAAACAATATAAATTTATAAAATAAAACTCAAAACATTTTTTTGACGTTTCGAGTGTTTCCAGTTAAACTCATTTAAGACATTGGAAATTAAAAAAATTCAATTCTCCCTTCCAATGGCAAATCAAACACTATGTATTACTTAAAATACATTTACATAAATTTTATCGAATATTCAAATTCGTTGAATAAAATGTTATAAATTAATTATAAAAATTTCAAATCAAAGACGTTTTTCAGCTTTCTGTCTTGAAAAACAATTTTACAGAATGACAAATAAAATACATTTTCCGCAATCTTAAAACAAAATTTGTAAACAAATAATTGAAAATGAATTCACAAATTTAAAATGAAAAGTATTAACATTGTTTAGTACAATATCAATACAAAAAATTGAAAAACATATTTGGTTTGAAATTTTTATAAATTGTTTTGCAACATTTTATTCAGTCCTTGTTTGAATATTCAGTAAAATTTTACATTAGTGTATTATCAAGTAATATACACATTTTAAGAGTTTGATTTGCCATCGGATTCGGAAGGGAGAATAGAATTATTTTAATTTTCAATGTCACGAATGAGTTTAACTGAAAACACTCGAAACGTAAAAAATATATTTTGATTTTATTCTATAAATTTAGATTGTTTTCCATTTCACAACAAGCCAACAATCGACTAAGCACGAGTTTATCCAAGACAAGATATTCTCAAAATGGACCTCACGAATATTGTCGGCGCCAAAAAACTCCATCCTTACATATTCGTGCATCTGACTAATATATTGCAAATTGATTTGATTAATTAAAGTGATAATCCTGCTTACCTAACAAAATCCATCCAAATTTTATTCGCTGACATCTGAGTCCCCCACCCCCCGTGCACCTGTACCTACTCCATACCCTACTACTATCGTTTTCCAGAATCTCCCGTACATATTTCTATCTCAGTTTTTTTATTTTCAATACATTTTTCTCAATTTTTTTTAACGATATATTTTTTAATAAAATAATATTATATATAAATTCATTTTTTTTCAACGATACATTTTTCCTCAATTTATTATTACAAATTGCATTCTTTCAAAATGGATTCAAACAAGCTCTTAGTTGCAGCATTGGTTCTACATTATGCATCTGTTTGGCCCCCATTAAAGTTATAATTCATTGTTTTGTTTTCTTATTAATCACACATTTTTCAGTAAAATAATATTATATATAATTTTAAAATATTTTCTTCTTTTTTAATCATATATTTTTTCCAAAAAAATATTATTTCAGCCATTAAAATTTCAAATAATTAGGGTCAAACGGGGTAAATTGATTAAACTCTATTTCTTATTCACACATTTTAGAATTTCTAATCTAATAAGAAGTTTGGCAAACATGCCCCTTAACCTTTAAAAATGAGCATGTTGATGTGACATTTAGTTATTATTGCACAATAGGTCTTTAATGATTGAAACTATTTCAATCTTCACAATTTGCCATAGTGAAAAGCTTGCCCCGCTTTGGACTTCTAGACACTAGTTTAGGATGGGAAATTTAGCCACAGTTTGTCATCCATTTTATCAAGAACCAGTCTGAGGCCGTTGGTGAGCAAAAAATGGACCGTTGTACAATTTTTAATTGAAAAATTCTGACATCTTTGCAGTACCAACTCAGGACATTTACGCTCGCATTCCCAAATTTACCCTCCTCCTCCTTACATGTATCACCAACCACAACCATGTCATGGAGGATAAAATGGTCATTTTTGTTCCATTTCTCTACAAAACGTGCAAATGAGGGCTCTCAGTGGAACCTTGTGATTTGACCTAAAAATTGATTTTGGTTTAAGAAAAGCACTTCCAGACACACGCCAAACATTGTTTGCTACAGTAAACAATTTTTATCACATATTCACTCAATAAAATATTCTACACGTAAACCAATAAAATTACTTTACTTTTCAACCACACATTCTCCAAAAAATATTATTCAAAACTCTATTTTTTTCCCAAAATAGGAGACAAACAAGCACTTAATCTTATAAAGTTAGATATGCGAATTTCATGCAACGATTTAATATTTATGGGAACAATGAAAACCCGAACAACTCATTCCCCAATTAATCGGGTTTTTAGGGTCTAGGAAGGTTGGAAGATGAAGGATTGTATAAGGGGTTTGTGACAAAACGTAGACAAGAAACATGATACGAATTACAAACTCACCCTATATCGACATAACAAAAAACTAAACAAGATAAAAAAAGTTGATCTTGTGTGACAAAAGGGATATATGTTTGATTTTATTAAAAATAATTTTTTAGTAAATTTTGATGTGAACTGATGAAATATGTGGTTGAACGGTTAATAAAAGTTATGGATCTATGAAATGTGTGGATAAAATTATTTGTTGACTTTTTATCTAAACATTTTAAGCTTTTTCTAACAAGCAATGAGATGATAGTTTTTCGGTATGAATATAGTTGAAGGTTGGAGCTAAACTTGCTCTTTTGAACTTTTGGATCAATTATCTAATGAAACAATAGGTTGAGGACCAATAGTGCAATATGTATATAAGCGTGTCTGTATAATTGTATATTTAGGTCAGTACATTCCAATTTTGTTGTTTATCTTGAAAAAAATAGGGAATCTGATTTTGAAGTTTGAAATTCCCCCTTTATGAGTATCACGTTGTTTTACTTTTTGCCGCTCCTGTATTCGAATTTCTTCTTCTTTGTTCTGCAGATTAGACCTAAATCATAAACAAAGTATCAATTTCTTATGCTCACCTCCGTTGGAGTTGAAAGATCTACACTTCACGTCTTCACCTTGACTTCAGGTAAACATTTTTTCACTTTTAAGCATTTCCCCTAATTTTTATAATGATTGTTTTCAAGAAATGTATGTTATTGTTATTCTATCTATTTGCTTTTGTTGCATTGATTATTTTCTTTCTTCGACCTAGTTTGGGTACGCTTTGCGAGCTGGTTTTAATGGTGAGACGTTGTTGGGGACAGCACTAGCATTTGTTCTTTGGAAAAGAAAACTAAACAGTATTTTTTCTCCAAAGCACCAGTAATTGATTTCTAGTAAAATTTTAAAGAAATTAGGTGGTGTGCTTGAGTTTAAATTTTATACTTACTGGATTAGTTGTTTAATATTTCTTCCGTTTCAGATATGACCCTCGTTCTTGGTTTTTTTTTTAATGGAAAAATGCATATATATGTTGTGGATTTCTTCTTAGGTACTGATATTCAGAATTTCTCAATTTGTTTTTGCATTCTCTTTTGCTCTTTCTCTAAGGTTATTCATATAGCTTTCAAATGCAGAATCACTTGAATATGTTGGTACATGCCTACATGGAGATGTAAACTGTGTATAACCTGCATTAATCATTTCACATTTCTGCAAGAAAAAGATGATCTTGGAGTTTGAACTACTGTAGTATCAAATTTCATACAGCGATTCAGGTTTATTGCTTTGATAATGTATCTGCAGATGGTTTGATATGATTTTTGCGACCGTAAGCGGGCAGCTTTTGGGATTGAATATCTTCACAAATATCTTGTACTAAGGTGATTGGTTAAAAGTGTGTGAAATGGAAAACTATGATATATTGGAACAGATTGGTAAAGGTTCTTTTGGTTCTGCGCTACTCGTAAGGCATAAACAGGAAAATAAGAAGTAAGGAACCTTTCTATTTCTTTACATAGAACTAAGTTGATTAGCGGGCCATGTTAATGATACCTTGTTCTATGTTTTGATTGGTAAGCTGTGTTTTTCCTTTTGCTGTAAGGTATGTTTTGAAGAAAATCCGCCTTGCTCGACAGACTGATAGAACCCGCAGATCTGCCCACCAGGAGGTGACTACCTAATTTGTATTCTGTAATAAATCAGAGGCGGTCAAAATAGTCAGGTCTTTCTATGTTACATTGAGACACTACACTATCATTTGACTGGGCGAATTTTTTCAGTAGAATAATTTGGTTTTATATTTGAAATGATGCACTTGAGATATGTATGGGTAAGTTTTGTGTTTCAAATTCACACGTATAAGGAGCTTGTAATAATTTTTATTGTTAATATGGATCTACTTGCAGTAACCGATACTTTGAAAGCTTCTGGTTGAATGATAATTAAACAATTTTCTCTCTCATATAATGGTCGCTCTTTGAATCTTACTTTCTTTCCTTTTAAACTGGTTTAGTTTTGGCTAAAAAATTATCACGTCTTTGGTGCTTACCCCTTAATTCCTCTAGTTTTTTTTCTCACTATGCAGATGGAGCTTATCTCTAAAGCAAGGAATCCGTATATTGTGGAGTACAAAGATTCCTGGGTGGAAAAGGTATACACCTGATAACATTCTAATGAGAATTGGTATCATAATATTGAAAAGGAAACTCGGACATTAAAAGGTGCCTAATAATGATGAATGGGAGCCTGTGCAATTTCAATATGTTCTTTTCTCTCACTTTACCAAGATACTATCTTGGTAACTTGCATTTAGAATGTTGTGGTTGACCATGATTATCAGAACTTAGTTATTAAAGACACTGAGCATGATCTTGAGTTGAGCTGGACTTGGCTTGGTCTGAAGCTCGACCATTATTGTGTACTTGATTTAGTTTCCCATTATAACTAAATGTTGCTTATTTCAGGGTTGTTATGTATGCATTGTGATTGGGTATTGCGAAGGTGGAGATATGTAAGCTATCTTTCTTGTGAAAACTTGTTAATTCTAAATATTTTTCACGTTGAACATTTTATTTGGGATGTCCCAAGAATATTCTCCATGGTGTTGACTCTGGCTTTCATTTGTCTATTTTAAGACAAACTTTGTTTTGCATCACCAGTTCACGTTTTGAAGTTCTTTCATTATTTTTCTTTGTAACAAAATTTGAAACTAATTTAAGATTGCTACATATTATTTTTCTTCCTTTTTTGAAACTGCCATATCAATACAGGAAGTTTTCTGGGATGTGTCAGTAGATCATGAGGCTGACTATATCTTATAGTTATCACCTGATCTTTGTATATTCCATTCTTTGTTTATATAGGGCAGAAGCTATTAAAAAGGCCAATGGTGTTCACTTCTCAGAGGAGGTTGTCTGATTTCCAAGTTTTATGCTCTTATTCATATTCTCAGTTTCTTGATTGAGCTTACTTTTCTGACTGTGACTCTGTTTCTTTTTACATCTGAACATTGAACGATAAACAGAATCTTTGTAAGTGGTTAGTTCAACTACTGATGGCACTTGATTACTTGCATAAAAACCATATACTTCACCGTGATGTCAAGGTTTGTTCACCTGTTTTCAGTATTTAAAGATTTAAAGCAGTTGAATCTCCATATTTGTAAAGCTAAATCTACTTTTCTACACATTTTCTTCAGTGTTCAAACATTTTTCTGACTAAAGAGCGAGACATACGTTTAGGCAAGTAACTTATGCCCATAATCCTCGATGTCTCTCTAATTTCTGAAACGTCGATCCACCATTTTCTCATTTCAAACTTCATTACATCATAATTTTCAATCTTCCCCTATTCTGATCATTTTCAGGTGATTTCGGTCTTGCTAAAGTACTGGCTTCTGATGATCTTGCTTCTTCTGTAAGTATTCAAGCTAGTGTGTGGCTCCATTCTTCAATATTTCTTCTCTGCAAACTTAATGTTGCATTGTTTATATTTCTGGTTGCAGGTGGTGGGTACACCTAGTTACATGTGCCCAGAACTTCTTGCTGATATACCTTATGGTTCCAAGTCAGATATCTGGTCCTTGGGTAATCATCTTAACATTTTTGAGTCAGAAACCTGGCTACATTTGTGTACATTCTTTTGCTGACCGTCAGCATAATCTTAACATGACTTATGCAGGATGCTGTCTATATGAAATGGCTGCTCACAAACCAGCATTTAAAGCCTTTGTAAGTCAATTTTTATTCTTTCTTATCTTATTATGGGTATTTTTAGAAGTCTGTACATTCACTCGTCTCTATTCAGTTTTCAATACAGACGTTTTTAGTTTTGTATAAATATTCCGTTTAGTGTATTGTTTGAGGACTCCACGACCAGTACAGAAAACAAGTCCGTCCTTATGATGGTTGTCACTAGACGATGACATTCTTCTCAGAGGCTTTATCTTCTTACATACTGAAAAATTAATCATCGAAAAGTGTAATTTCATGGCCTTTTTACTCTGTGAAATCCTAGTAGGGTAAGTAGAGTTTATACTTGTGATATATCAGGATCTAACCAATTTTTTATTTCTTCAATTTAGGGTCTGTTACTTTGTATTAGTTTATTCTGTTTATTGCCTATTGTTTCGTGTTATTGATTTCAAATTTGCTTGGTGAACAGGATATACAAGGTTTGATCAACAAAATAAATAAATCTATAGTGTCTCCTCTTCCAACCCTGTATTCTGGTGCATTGTGAGTCTTTATTTAAGCCTGCAGTTGCTATACTGAACCTCCATTCGGCTTGTATTTTTCCAGATAAAAAAATTTCATTTGCTTTTGTTGACATGTTTCTTGAATCACCTATTTTTGCAGCCGGGGGCTCATCAAGAGTATGCTGCGAAAAAATCCAGAACTTCGGCCAAGTGTATGTTTTCTTTCCTTGTGTTGCAATACTGAAATTTTATAGTTTAAACTTGAGATACTTAGGTGCATGAAATTAATGCCATTTCACTACATGTTTTTCATCCCGAATGCAAAGTGTTAGGGCTTTCCCGAACTGACTCATACTTTGTCAATGTGCCGTCGCATGTAGACCTGATTCTACTCGTCAACCATATAGGATGGACCAAAGAATGCATTCCAACATTGCTGCATCTTCTAAATATTTTGATGGACTTTCTTTGTTTCCAGGCTGCAAACTTGCTCAGGCATCAACACCTTCAGCCTTACATCCTGAATATCCATCTGAAGTTGAACAACCCTCGGAGGCATACTTTTCCAATCCAATTACGCAGTCCAACTGATGTCAAGAGAACCAGATTTCTTGAGCATGCTGCTATTTCTAACAAAAGAAAAACAGAGAAAAGACTGTCATTTGGTAACAACAGGGCCTTAAATCCTAGTATATCTGGATGTGACCTGGATTCTTTATGTTCTTCTCGAAGAGAACAAAACATTTTGAGCCATTTGAGTGAACAGTTCTCAGAACTCTCTGTGGGTAGAGTTGGTGAAATTACCGGTGCAAAAAAGTCAGTGACTACAAACTTATCAAGTGCTTTGAAAACTCCACAAGTGATGTCAACAAAGGGTTCTGCAAATCTGAAGAGACAAACAACTCCTTCAAAGATATCCAACTCTGGATCAACCCGTGAACTGGTTTGTTTGTTTTCAGTTCATTCAATTACTATGATATAATTTTATGTAGTTGAATTGGTGTTTCTTGAACAAAAAAAATGTGATGACATTTTCTAAAGTTCAAGTTATATATTTAGGTTCGTGCAATAAACTCACAGCATTTTACATGCACATGCAGCTTCCAATCTCACAGATTTCAGTCAGAAAACCTTCCCAATCAACACGCAGAGCATCTCTTCCACTGCCTACCAGAGCTGTTACAAGTGTTGGTCTCCTCCGTGGCATGGAGTCACCCGATGTATCTGTCAATGCTCCTCGAATTGACAAAATGATCGAGTTTGCTCTAATGTCTTCCGAGGATCCATTGTCTTCCGTCCGTGGAACGTCATCAATATCTGCTCAGTGTTCTTCAACTTCACCTTATAGTGTTGATCGTTCAATCACAAAAGACAAATGTACAGTCACTGCTCGTAGAGTTCCACGTAATGGAAGTGAGTCTTCAGAGAACAATCTGAACAGTCGAGTAGGTTCTACCCGTTCATCAGATTCCCGGGAGCGTAGATTTGACACCTCATCTTACCAGCAGCGCGCAGAAGCCTTGGAAGGATTGCTCGAGTTTAGTGCACAACTCTTGCAGCAAGAACGCTTTGATGAGCTCACAGTGTTACTGAAACCATTTGGACCTGAAAGGGTTTCTCCAAGAGAAACTGCAATTTGGCTGACAAAGAGTTTCAAGGAGAATATTGTGTGATTAGAATTAGAACTTTAGTTTTCACTAATCACCTTGTATTGATAGCTAACACGAGCACGAATCTTTGTTGTCACACGTGCCGACTTGTGGAGGCATAGTTGTCTCAATTGTGGTGTCTTTTGTTTTTGTATTAGATGATGTTCTTAGACTAGGCAACTGAGTAGCTGCCTACTGATGCTTGTGGAGATGCACATGAATTACTTGTTAACGGGAAAGTAGAAATAGAAAACCATTTGAACGATTTTCAACTTCACAAAATATTGGCAAATAGAAAATTAGGGTATGTTTTCGTACATAGTATTGGATTACGAAGATGATATTTTGGTTTAATATTGTTGATGGTATTTAGTTCACATTATCGAAAATTCTGATCAGATATACTCTTCTAAATCATGTCTCGGAGGGAGAGCGATGTTACTCTAATGAATGAGGGCGTAAAAAATGGCCCCCGAGTCGATTTCATAATATTGTAAGATGCCGATTGTAAATAATTTGGTTAACTGTGATAATTGTACTATAGCTCTTTAGCGATTTCTACATGGAATGGCATCAAGTCTGTAAAAGGAAAAGGTTGAAGGCAGAAAAAGATGGTTTGAAATATTAAAGAAGAAAGTAGATTTGAATGCAAAAACTGAAAAGGAGATGACAAGTTAATGATTTAAGATTATGAAGCAAAGGGAATAAAGCTGTCTCTTTATGCAGATAACAAGTTATTGTCTCGTCTTGCATGTACCCTAAGCCAAAAGCTTTCTTCACATAATTTGGAGAGGGGACCTGATTTTTCAGAGGGAAAATCAGGGTGGGTTGGGCATGATGACGTGTTCAGGCACGCCTTGAATACAGTTGGGGAATTGGTACAGAGATTTACTGCGATTGTTTGAAAAATCTTTTGGGGTCAAAACAAAGTTGGTCGGGTTGTGACGTTGCCCATTCTTGAGACATGCAAGGGATTAGAGGTACAATTGGAAAAGTACCATTCTTTGTCCATTTTCGTGTGATCCTTCGAGCTAATGTATATAGTTTGTGAATTCAAGTCTAGTCGTCATTCATTTGTTATTAGTTTGCTTATGAAGCTACGTGTAGAAGGTAAAATATAAATGTACGATTAGTGGATCTAAAGCACTGGGGACTTATTTGATTGAGTGTACCTATGTAATCTACTAGAAGAAACCATGATTTACCTCGAAAGAGTAAGACTTAGCAAATCATTATTGACAAATCCTCTCTCTTTAAAAAGGAAAAATCACTCGTGGAATTCACAACTTTTGCATAATATAGTATTTGAGTCTCTAATCTGTATCTAATTTCAATTCATTCAATTTATAGTAACAAGCTATATGTTGCACTTCGACAATTATGTACCAAATATGCGTCATCAAAGGAACCTTATGATCGCAGCAAAACCTTTTAGCCCCTCTTTGATTTTGTTAAAAATTAGATTTTAATAAATAAAAATTGATGAAATGTATGGTTGAAAAGTTAATATAAATCGTAGATTTAAATGTGATTGAAAATGATTTTGGAGGAAAAAGATCCCCTATTTGGTTTAGATAAAAACCAAAATCTTAATAGATTTTGATACAGCTGATGAAATATGTGTTTGAAATATTGATAAAAATCATGAATCTCATAAAATATTTTGTTGAAAATCAATTTTAAAAAATGGAACGGAACATTAACTGAGTATTAAAAAATAGCACAAATTTGATGGTCATTATTTGGCAAAAGTAAAGTTTTGAATATTAGATTTTTGAAGGATGTGTAGTTAAAAAATAAAAAGAAAAAATTTTAAATTTACATGTAGAATATTTTATTGTGTGAATGTATAATTAAAAATAAGTATATAAAATAAAGAATTTTGAAATAACACTCTTGCTAATTCTATTGACCAAAAAGTTCACTAGGTGCTAAGTCGATTTAAAAAAATCCTTACAGCTACTCTATAAAAAGGAGTCCCCAATACATACCCCGCTGTGGCAGGAGATTTTTCAAAACCAACCCAAAAACTGGACCATCACTTCAATCTTCACACTTTTTGATATGCATAGCACAATGGACTTGTTATGGGCTGAGAAAAACTCCGCCGGCGGTGAAATTCAGCTGCCGGAAAGCCCAAGAGGGCCCATGGAATTTCTCTCAAGATCATGGAGTGCCTCAGCCTTGCAAGTGTCCAAAGCTTTAGCTTCTCCAACTCCTCCACTTATGTCACTACAAAAAAACGCGGCATCGGCTAGTAGTAGTCATGCTGTCATACCGGAAAATATCGCGGGAGAAGAAGAGGAATCTGCCAAGCTTTTGGGAAACACATTCTCTTTTGCTTCTTCGACAACTTCTCAACTAGTCCTCGAACGCATCATGTCTCAATCGGTAAGTCCCTCATCCTAAGCTCGACTCAACAATATTAAAGAAGAAAAGAATACTGTCAAATCACGTCCAGTACAATATAACGAACTCGACATTGTCGAGGTAGTTTTTGGACACTAAAATGCATTTATCATTTCACTATGCTTTCGTGATATGGAAAATGCAGGAAATATCACCACTAACATCTGGAAGACTCTCTCATAGCAGTGGGCCTCTGAATGGCTGTTTGACAGAAGAAACAGACAGCCCTCCAATCTCTCCATCTGAGGAGTTTGAGGATGTTGTCAAGGTACTTTCTTCTTAACTTATCTTAAATCTTTTTTGTTGAAATATAATGTTTAATCATAATGTACATTTATATCATCAACAACACGTCGACTTAATATTTTCGGGAGTTTATTAGGTATCTTATACCTCGAGTGCGTTGGGTTTTCCGTACATGTAATATATAGGTCACGCTAATATTCCTATGGATAACGGGTTTTAAGAGGCTGATTTTGGGTTTGTGAGAGGCGTATGAAGTAAAGTGCTTGTTTGGGTTTCATTATAATTTTCTTATAATTTGAAGTCAAAGTGAAACGTTAATTTTAATCACATATTTACAATTACTACCTACTTATTAGCTCGCTTCGACAAGACTCTGACCGCTTTATTAACACATTTCGTGAGATCCATCTAATGCTATTATGCTCAATTAAAGTTGAAACCCCCAACACGTTTGATTTCCATTTGTATATGTGTTTTCAAGAATATCTTGGATTCTATGAGGGAAATTTTGTAACATTTTTCTTATTTTTTTTGAAATAAAGAAGCTATTCCAATGATGATTAGTCAATGATGGGGTCTTCTTAGAAGATAAAAAGCATAATGATTTATACAAATTTGCAGCCAATAAATTCCAGCTTTCACAAGTATTTTTGCAGAAAAGTGCAAAATAAAGAATGCTTTTGTCACTTTCGATATTAACTTTTTGTTTCTTTATAAGAATGCTTTAGCCGTCTGATCAGTCACTTTTTGACTTTCCTAAACGTTGATTTAGTTTTATTTTCACATGTAAGGATAAGTTTAATTCACTTTTTCACTCTAGAAAATAAGACTAATCCTTAAAAAAATGAGCCAAAAAGGGAAAAAAGACGAAGAATTTACCCGCATTATGTTGTTTCTTTTTTCTATTTTTATTGGGTCGGCATGGTATCTTATACGTCATTTCCGATTTTCTTGTAAAGGTATCTTCGGCTACAAAATCTAAGAAAGATTTGTTCTCATAAAGAAACTGCATGAAAGATGAATTTGGATTTCGTGCCAAGAAAATTTCAGAAATCAAAAAGAAAATTGAAGTAAATTTTCATGAACTGAACACAGGCAGTAAATGATTGAATGAATGGCAGCAGTTAGTTCCAATTTAAGAGCTCTCCTATTTGGCCATTTAAATACAGAAGGTTGAGTGTACATGAAAAGAATTGATTCTCTCTGAACAAATTTCTGCTTATAATTTATTTCTTTCCAAAAAAAGCATTTGACTTTTTCTTCTTTAGTGATTCTCTTTTGTACTATCTGAGTTTCATTTCTCAGATTTCTCCTTCGCTCACCTTAGTGGTGTAAAGGAAAAAAAAAAAAAAAAAAGAAGCTCCCAGCACTGTGCTGAACAGTGGGTTGCCCCTGTCTAGGAAGACGGGCCATGCCAGGCATGGCAGTATGGCCTGCAGTGAAAGAACAATTCATCTTGGATAAATATACTTGGCTAGGGCCACATGGGCATTGGCCCCTATTGGCTGGGGGTCTGTCCAGGGCCATGTGGCCCTGACCAAGTAGCAGGATTCTTCGATCTTTAGTCACGTTTCAATCCATCCTACCTTGAGACAGGCTTACGGGACATGGAGAAATGTATCACAAAACAAGGGTCCACAAATTTTTCTAAGCGGAATGTTTTGGGCTTTTCCGTGACCAGCCCAACTTGATTGACACCGCTAATTCGCATCCAATGAAAGTAAATTTGTGACATGTTTGATATGTTATCTTTCTAGTTTGGTTAAATCTAGCATACTCTTGTTTATAATCTATATCGATGCATGCTTATCATTAATTGGGTTGAAACGATGTTTTCAGTATTTACGTGCAAAAAACACGTTACAACCCCTATTCACTGGAACACACGGTGCCTATAGTGGCGCTGCAGCTGGTGGCCCTAGCACGCCTCGTGGCAAGACAGTCGGGAGGTGGTTAAAGGAGAGGCGAGAGAAGAAGAAAGAAGAGATGAGGGCCCAAAATGCCCAGCTCCACGCTGCTGTTTCAATTGCCGGGGTGGCTGCAGCGGTGGCTGCAATAGCAGCAGCCACAGCAACTGCATCTTCTAAAGGTAAGGATGAGCAGATGGCGAAAACTGATATGGCGGTGGCTTCAGCCGCCAGTTTGGTGGCTGCGCAATGCGTGGAGGCTGCAGAAGCTATGGGAGCTGATTACAACCACCTCATGTCTGCCATTAGCTCTGCTGTCAACGTCCGTTCACACGGAGATATATCAGCACTTACTGCTGCTGCAGCCACAGGTGAGGAACAATCCAATTCAACTAAATCATCTAGCATATATGCAATGAAAATTAACCTGAATTTCAATTCTGCAGCGCTGCGTGGAGTAGCTACCTTGAAGGCAAGAGCCCTGAAAGAAGTGTGGAATGTCGCAGCAGTGATTCCAGTAGAGAGAGGACTTTCCTTGGGCAAGACGTGTAATAGCAGCAGTAACAATTCCGACAACTATAATGAAGAATTAGTTCCTGAAGAGAATTTTCTGGCTGCTTGCAATGAAGAACTGCTTGCTCGTGGTAACGAGCTTCTCAAAAGAACACGAAAAGGTAAACTCATATTCTCGAATTCTAACGAGGATTGAATTCTCTGTTGAATAGATATTGATATCAGTGTAATGCTGCAGGTGATCTTCACTGGAAAGTTGTATCCGTATATATTCATCGAACTGGAAATGTGAGTTTCGACACATTATATTTAAACTCAAAACATTCAAATCTTACTTTGGTTATCTTGACAAATCCCATGAATATATGTTTTGCAGGTGATGCTGAAGATGAAAAGCAAATATGCAGCAACTACGATAACTAAGAAAAAGAAAAGTAAGTACCGGCATTCACAACTTTCTGTACATTGTGAATATATGCTAATTGTCCGTACTATGTTATGGATTAAACCATAATCCTATTCTCGAGAGCAATAATAATACACGAAGTAAATACACTCAACCTAATACAAAAAGACAAGTGCCCCGTACTGAAGTAAATAGTATAAATCCAACTTATTGAAGTTATAAATGTATGTCATTGACACTGCAGATGTGGTGTTGGAGGTTTGTAAAGACATGCCGGCATGGCCGGGGAGGCACTTGTTTGAGGACGGTGAGCAGAGACGATATTTTGGGCTGAAGACACAAGCGCGCGGCGTTGTTGAGTTTGAATGCAAGAATGAAAGAGAATACGAGATGTGGACACAAGGTGTTTCAAGGCTTCTTTCCATTGTTGCTGAAAGAAAAAGAAGGCATCAAAAATAGCCAAATGCATCCCACAAAAATCTGAACTATAATGCCAGTTACTGGTGCAAATTACACAATTTCTTGTAGTTATTGGTTCAGATTCTGATACTGTTTTGCTTTGCTCTGCTCTGCTTTTGAGTAATGGTAGTTATCAATGTATATTGCGAAGAAATTCCATGTGTGATATCTCTTTTCTTTGATCATTCCGTGGGCGTAAGATTGCACGAGACTGAATATTAATATAGGATCTCATACATGAATTAACTGTCAAAAAAAAACTAGAAACACACAAATTTATAATGGTTCACCCTCGAGCGAGCATAGATTTCATTATAAAGTAGAAAGAATTCTAATGGGCCTCTCACTCCGTATCGTACTAAAAATGGCACCCAATATAATGCTTTATATATGTCGGATTATTAGAGTGACCAGTATTTATAAAACTTCCTTTATCGCTAGTATTATTCGTAGGAGGCCGATTGTAAGTGGTTCCAGCGTCGTTTTGAGATTGTATTGGCCGAACCAAACTCTTAAGAAATCTAACACGTACAACGACATTGAATCAACCTATTTTAATTTTGAAAAATTCATTTAAGAAAATTGTTAATTTCTCTACAAAGACATTTGCGCTGCTAAGATATTTGTGTTCACCATATTGTATTTTGTAGTTAAGAATCTTCAAATCTATATTGATTTTCATCTTCACGAAATAGCACTTCCTCGTCTAACCAAATTAAGCCCCGTTCTCATTTATTAAAACTCATTTTTCTATAAATTCATTTATAACCCATGTTTGATAGGGATTAAAATCAATTCTTCAGTAAATTTTAATAAAATTTGATGAAATGTATAATTGAAAAGTTATGAATCTTATTGAATGAGTAATTAAAATAAATTGTTAAATTTGATTTAAATTTAAATTTTTTACAAAACATGGGCATATTTTTTAGAGTAATGCTACTTGCAGTCGCTCACTGCAGCAGTCGCCTTATGTGGCACACACATGGCATGTAGTTATTTGATGTATTAATGTGGTAGTTTTTTACCACATTTAATNCGACAGGTCCCCAAACGGTCAAATCAGCAGCCTATGTCAGAAACATTCAATACCAGTCGGCCTATGGAGGGACAAATTGACACCTAGGATGGGACGAGCCTTGGGGATCTGGCAACATGTGTGTCCTCATCCAACGACTCTCCTCTTTCCATCCTTAGTATAAATATCCCCTCCTTGTGCCAAAAGAAGGATTGGAATCTCAGATATTCTCCCCTACATATAGCGAAATCAAGTATTATCTTCTTCCCCATATTGTTGGCACTTTCATACAACTATTTCCCGGCGAGTGACCTACCGCCGGTGAACCTCCTTGTTGAATATTAAGCTGACTTGGCCGTCGGAGTGCTTGCGGCCGATCCCAATCCCTCCGGGAAAAGGCCTCAAGAGACGACGGTGTGCCACGTGTCGGAGCCATATTTCGAGGTCAACACTTTATATATGTCGGATTATTAGAGTGACCAGTATTTGTAAAACTTCCTTTATCGCTAGTATTATCCGTAGGAGGCCGATTGTAAGTGGTTCCAGTGTCGTTTTGAGATTGTATCGGCCGAAACAAACTCTTAAGAAATCTAACACGTACAACGACATCGAATCAACCTATTTTAATTTTGAAAAATTCATTTAAGAAAAATGTTAATTTCTCTACAAAGACATTTGCGCTGCTAAGATATTTGTGTTCACCATATTGTATTTTGTAGTTTACTTATATAAGAATCTTCAAATCTATATTGATTTTCATCTTCTCGAAATAGCACTTCCTCGTCTAACCAAATTAAGCCCCGTTCTCATTTATTAAAACTCATTTTTCGATAAATTCATTTATAACTCATGTTTGATAGAGATTAAAATCAATTTTTCAGTAAATTTTAATAAAATTTGATGAAATGTATGATTGAAAAGTTGTGAATCTTATTGAATGAGTAATTAAAATTAATTGTTAAATTTGATTTAAATTTAAATTTTTTACAAAACATGGGCATATTTTTTATCCAAATCAATCAGTGGCCCTTTTGATTTTTTACCCTTTAAAGAATAGTAAACAATGACAGGACAACTACGTGGCGCCCTGGGGTTGCAGTCTTGTCGCCCCCTAACTTCCCATTCCTTCAGTGGTTAAAATTTAGCCCAAAACACACACACTGAGCGCCCACTCTCACACTGTTACTCTAGTTAACAAAGCAGTAATCCACGACAAAAATCCCCAATTTTCAACAATTTATCAACATAATCCATCGATCTTACTACAATTGGGTCAAATTGATGCAGGAATCTGTCGCCATGTTGCCGGAAGGTGCTATCCCCAAGTCACCTCTCGATAAGCCGCTTCAGCAGCTCACTGAAGATGACATTTCTCAGATTACCCGCGAGGACTGCCGCCGTTACCTCAAGGAGAAAGGTAATGCTTTTGATTGACACCAGAACAGAATTTAAGCAAAGAATGAAGGCTGAATATAAAATAAGAAACGAATTTAGACGATATATGTTACGATTGAGAATTTGTTTTGGTGTAGGGATGAGGAGGCCGTCGTGGAACAAATCGCAGGCGATTCAGCAAGTGATAATGCTCAAGAGGCTGCTTGAAACGACGACCTCAGACACTGAAGCTGAACCTCTCAAAAAGCTCTACCGCCCTAATAATGAGTATGATGATAATCCACAGCGCGTGAGTAATTTAATTTTCATTTTTTCTGTTATTGTTTTTAACATTAAAAAAGGAATAAAAGATTCTTTGCAGAGTCTGCCTTTTTAGTGCCACTATTAAATTAACTATCTTTTACTAGTTAAATTATCATATTGATTAAATAAATGTAGGTTTCTGAGGGAACGTTTGAATCAGCAGAAGAGAAACTGCCATTTCTGAGTAAGGATCTGGGGAAACCTGATTCTTCTGGTGATCTGTCTGGGAGTTTGGTTGCCGCCAACAATGAATCTGCTCCTCCTAGGTGATTTTTTTTCTCTTTAGTCAGTTATAAGCATATACGCAATTTTTTAATATATTAATCATTTTCTTTAATTGGTTATAATAATAATGTACTCCTGGTAACTGTTACTCGTGTTAGAGTTGATTTTTTTTTTTTGCAATGTAGATGGTCAAATCTGCATTGGATATGTAGAAATTGTTTTTTTCTTTAGTATTCTTTCATCCAATATTTATGTATCCTTTTAGATTTGCTTATCAGCTCAAAACTAACAGAGACTGTTCTGTGGATTTTCAATTAGCATTTTGGTGTGTCTTATATAGTGACTGATCATCAGCATTACTCCATTATATTACTGACTTATATCACTTAAGAAGCCCAGTTGAATTTAACTGAAAATAACTGATTAGATGCATGCCTGGCAGTTTGAGGTTCCGAGTAGGTCGTGTATGTAAGCTCAAGGGTATAAATATCTCTGTCATTAGTTACCCGTCCTTCTCTACCATAAGTCATCTTCTGTATGCAGTACACATCTAGCAATGGCTATGCATGGTTGTCTATGTCACAATCCAAGAGGTATTCTAGTACGTGGATTAAAAATAAGTTGCTACTTTGGATGTTGCATTGCCATGGCTAAGCTCTGCTTTATTGGCATTCTAATTTAACGTGTATTTACAGTGGAATGCTGTGATTTTGTGCTCTTCGGTAGGTTCCTTTTGTCTTATTGTACAGTGATCATAAGCTAATATGTTCACAACACACACCAAGAGACATTGATGTGGGTTGTCAACAAACCTGGTGAAGAAAGCTCCAAGAAGGAAACTGAGTCTGATGTTGGAAATGATGATAGCACCATAGAAAAGGGTTGGTGGTTGCTAGATGGAGGGAGGGCAGTGAGAAGGTGAAGTGGTAACAATTATATCATATGGAGGGGGATTAACAAGCGAGTCTAATTCACTGAAGAATGCTTCTTAGCTGCCTAATTGTCTAGAGATCCATTGGAGTATTTGTATTTGGGCCATTTTAGAGAATCTTTTCTGCATGAGGGAGATAAGATATTAAAATATGCCCTCTTGAATGTACTTCCTAGAAAAGATCTGGAGATTGCATGCAGTGCAACAAAGCTCAAAACATTGTGCCTGTACCTAACATAGCCTATGTGTGGTTCATGTTTATAAATTGTTTAAAAACAAGTCACTTTTATCCAAACATTTCGAGAGATCCACAAGTACTACTCAATTTTATCTATTTATAATATAAACCTTTATAAACACTTCCCAAACATGCTATTAGAAACATAAAATATCTAGACAATAAGGAAGATCTCATGACAGTGAAAGTTTAATTCTATTATAGTCTTTATACTCAGTTGATGTGTGTATCGCTATTTAGTGATATTTGATAATGTTCAGCAGCAGAAAAAAATTGATGAGTAATTATCATTATTGATTCATTTAGTCGTGCATTTATATCCTGTGTCCTTGAAGAAATTAAATCTGTATGTCAAGATTAGTAGATTCTAGAGGCAATGAGGTAAAGTTTGACCAATCTTCTAGTTTAAGGCTGTATGTGGATTATTTTAGTTGATCTAATATTGCTATTATAACATCATTTCCAGCATATGCTTGACATAATTTTTTTCTTCAAACTGAGTAATCAGTGTAAACTACAGCTTTCATGAGTTCGTGACAGAGCCAATATAAAAAGTGTTATTTTTAAGTTGCTATTGTATAATGCATACAGCTTGCGCCATACATGACACTGGCGTTTCTTTTAAATGACTCTTTCCTTTTTTATAAGTTGGTGGTTTTTCTTAATGGTCTCAGAACCGTGGGTTCAACAAATATTCCAGCTGGACAGATGATAATATTTTATTGTGGCAAAGTAAATGTGTATGATGATGTGCCAGCTGATAAGGTATTGAAGCTTCTTTTGTATTGCAAATGGATTGAGGCAATTTCGATCTTTCAGTCTTTAACATGACCAACTAACATGTTTTTCAGGTACATGCAATTATGCATTTTGCTGCAAGTCCACTCCAGTTTCCTCAGGAACCGCCATTTGACATCACTGTACCAGTGCAACCTTCGCCATGCCACTCACAGTCTGTAAGTGGCAATGTTTGCGCAGATTCTGCAACAGTACTCTCACCAACTTTGCAGACAGGTGGTTTAAATTTCGAGTTCCTCGAGGTTTTTTATGTCTTTCCGAGCCTGATATTTTTCGTAACTATGATTTCTTGAATCTGTCTGAACCCTTAAAGAGACTCTTTGGAACTTCCTTACGGAGATCATTTAATGCCTCAATAGTATTTTAACTCTCTCTTACAAACACACTACTCAACACTAAAAGCAACTTTGTTTGAAAGGTAAATTTAGCGCAAGTACTGGTGCTCTCTTATCAAATAGTCCCAGTTGTTACTGGCGCGTTAGAGGTGCTGGGAGTTCCTGAGGAGCTTTGCTGCTTTGAGTAACTCGAATTTGATTTCTTTATAAACAAGATACCCTATTGAGATTTCATATACATTTTTTTACAGCAAAAATGAGTGACAACTCTCTACTGCATGGAGAAGAAAGTAACATGCTTCATGAAGATTACCCTGGTAATGTTTTGGTTTATATGTCTGCATTGCATAATTCAACCCACTGATTTGGATTCTCATTTTTAAAAAGGTTGTAGACAAACTGTTTCCCAAAATAGAACGATGCCCAAACTGATTTGGTTCAAATAACTGCATTTTGCACCAAACCAAGTCAATTGATGGAAAATAAGTGTTTCTTGATTGCAGGATGTATAGAAATATAATTTTGCAATCATCTTTCTGTGAAGTCAGAGTGAAATAGAGGAAAAAGATTAGAACGGTATGTCTAGTCCCAAGGAAATTCTGGGAGTCCTTTGAATACCGGTGTCTTTTAATAAAAAGACAAGTTTTGTAAATTAATATATTGGTTTAGAGTTCCATCTTAAAATGTCAACTTTGTTAAGAAGAATAACCTAAACCCTTATATATTGGTCTATATTTATGTATTTAACCAATGTAATCCCTTAACATGCCCTCAAAAGATGGTGGCTTGTTTGAGCACATCAATTTTGAAATTCGTATGGTTGGTTTTGAGTCTTAATCGGATCAAATTGCTAGTTGGAACTTAATGAGCTCTAACACCATATTAAGAATTGGAGTTTCATCGTAAAATGTCAACCTTGCTAAGAGTAGTAGTCCAAACCTTTATATATTAGTCTATATTTTGGTATTTAACCGATGTGGAATTTATCTCCTAACACTTAGGATCCTAATTATTTGACATCACCAACAATAGAGACCGTCAATTTGTTCAATTAAAAATTTTCCATTAGAGAAAATTCGTGAAATTCTTAATACTATAGAATTTTAAGCATTTTGTTGTTAGAACGTGGGATCTAATACATGCCATTATGGCCCTGGCTGGATTCTACTTCTGATTGTAGATTGACCAGAATAATTATAATTGAAGTCTCATTTGCACTAGAGAATCGATAGGCTAGTAAAAAAGACAAAATTGGGGATTCCTAAATTTATCTGGAAGATTCGTGCTTGGTATGAGCCAGGAGACTTTTGGTTCGTCATGCTATTTTTTCAGAATTAGATGTAGCACTTTTGGAATTTTTTTTTTTTAATATTTTTTGTAAAATTAGATTTAGCTACCCTGTCTTACTTCTTATATAGGATTAGGTTAAATCTAGATCATCCCGTTATGTTCTTATTTGCTTGATGCCAACTGCTAAATCTATTACGCACAACCATGCACGTAGTGGATATATTCTAGTTGATCTACGTGTGTGATAAAGAGAAGTGCATGCAAAATTAATTGCTCATAAACAGGTCTATGAACACTTATATTCCAGTATGGAACAATTAATTAATACGTGTT